GTAGTGAGAGGGGATGACTACAAAGTGATACAAAGAGATTGGGGGGAAGGAGGATGATGATGTTGTTGTTAGCTGCCTTAGAGTTGGCTCTGACTCATGGCTACCCCACATACAACAGAATGAAAAGTTGCCCAGTCCTGCACCATCGTCACAGTCATTAGTATGCTCAAGTCAATTGCTTCAGCCACTGTGTATTTTGAGTGCCTTTCAACACTGGGGACTCATCTTCCAGCACTATATCGACAATATTCTGTTATGTTCCATAGTGTTTTCCTTGGCTGATTTTTGGAAGAGGATTGTCAGGCCTTTCTTTCTAGTTTGTCTTAGTCTGGAAGCTCCACTGAAACCTGTCCACCTTGGGTGCCCCTGCTAGTATTTGAAATACTGGTGTCATAGCTTCCAGCATCATAGCAACATGCAAGCCACCACAGTACAACAAAATGACAGACAGGTGATGACGGTACTGGTTCTATTTCTTGATTGTGGTAGTAGTTACACAAATGTTAGCATCTGTCAAAACTCATAGAACTCTACACTAAAAAGGGTGAATTTTACTGTACATGAAATATACCTTACTTTACAAATACTTAAAAATTACAAATCAGCAATGACTTAATTTTAAGTTACCAGCAAGACCCATTCAATCTCCTACGTTCAGCAAAATTGTGTTTAATCTACTCGTATTGACATTTGCTTATTTTAAAATACTGACAGAGAAGATTCTATAAGCACAAATGGTGGTACATAGCTACTCAGCAGGACTTTCAGAATGGAGAAGAAAAACTTGGCTAGGGAACAAATAAGAGTCACTTAAATCTGTACTTCAAAAAAACAAAACAACAGAACCATAAAAATAAGTGTAATTTCCAAATCTGGCTCTGAGGTCCACTATGGCGTGGAAACTTGGGACTAATACTCATAAGGCAAGAGGCCAGGTGCCCAACATAGTCTGATGCATCATACTAACCAAGCTAAAGAGGTAAGCTACAAAAATGACTCAGGATGACTGTCCTAGCTCAACAATAATGAAGAAGCCGACAAGATTTTATGATCCCATAATGCCATGAGTCTCAACACTAAATAGAATTCGTTGATATACAGGGTAAGGCAAAGTCTCTTCACAGGTGGAACTATCAGAGGAATAAGTAATGAATTTGGAATAAAAGAGAAAGGTTAAAAATACAAGTTTTATCTTACCATGGTGGTACACAGTAACATACTATTTTATATTGAAGTGCACACATTGCCATCTTACTCTTTGATTCTATGATTACTTCTGTCTCATTCTTTTCCCCTCTGCTCATCCATCCCTATCTCCACCTCTCTTCCAGGGAAATAGATAATTTTAATATCCTTGAGGCTACAGGGTCAGATTGAGGCAGCTCTAGAATGACAGAGGCTACTTCAAGTTGAATTCCAGTCTGGACCCTGAACGTCCAAACTTGGACCCTGAGACCATTACAAAGTCAACCTGAATTTCTGAGTCAAGTATAGAATTATTCTAGTCTCGTAGGTCTCCCTCCAAATGAAGATTGATAAGGCAGGGACAGGGACAAGATCTATGTGGAAAGATATCAGTATCCCCCCACCACAGTGAGTACAGATAGACAAGCCAATATAATCCATGCTAAATGAATAAGCAAGCATTCATCTTAGCAAATCCCAGAAAATCTTCTTTCCGAAAGCAAGCATTTGTCTCTTACAACAGCCCAATAATTTGGTAGATATGGTTTCTAAGAGCCTGTATCTAGACATGGCGTATCCAAGACCATAATGCTAAGGATACAAAGAAAGATGCTAATAATCAACCTTATAAAAAAATTTTTAAAACAAATAAAAATAAAATTTAAAAAGTACCAGCCCACATAGAATTATTAACTCATACTTCCTGCCCTATAATGTGTACACACATAAATGGGAAATCCTTTGTGAGCAAACAAGTGCTTTCAAGGGTTATATAACCAAATTAACTCCTTTTTCATTGCGGACCCTACGATACTAAGCATATACACACCAAATCTTAATTCGTTCACCCAAATGTATGTAGTTACAGTCTGCATCAGTTTCCGAGCTTTCATGAGAGTCGGTCTAACCTTTGAGATACTTCTTATCCCACTTTATTTCAAGTATTATTAATAGGCCCCCTGGAGCTTGTTATCTTTGACTTAAGCACCCCGTGGTCTAAGCAAAGGCTGCCAAGAAAGAAATGTCTCTTAAGTCAAAAGTAGCACCAAGGCACCACATCCCGCAGTGCAAATCTACTGTGACCTTGTAGGTGGAGGAGAAAGACTATCCCCAACATCAATTGGGGGTTTCTTCCAATATGCCACAATGATAATTCACAGCTGGTCAAATGCCCATGGCCAAAACAAAGGAGAGAAAGGAAGCAATTATCCAGATAATTCTGATCACACATACATAACGGATATTATAACTAAATTATTCAGATCACTGTACCATTCTCCACTTTACAGAACGAGACAACCAGTCATAAAATAGGTTGTTCAGCTACTGGCAGCTACAGTCTCATATTTTGAAAATAACCTTTTATGTACCTTAAGAGTTACTCAAACCATGGAGAAACATACTGTAACTCTGCGGAAACTAACTTGTAAAAGAGTTCCTGAGCCAAAAGGCCCCTTGTCTTGATTCAGAGATGGTTTCTCAACAGAGAATTGTTTTAACCTCAAATCTTTGAGCAGCTTAATCTTTAGCTGAATTTGTCTAGTGTGTTGTGGTATTACTACCTAATTAATTCAAGTCATTGCCAGTCCTGTAAATGAAAGGGGTGAGTGAGGAGGCCTATAATGCATTTGCAGACACTTAAAAAAAAAAAAGATTCCATAGCTGTCATCTCCTTCTCCTATTTCAAGAGTTTACTGGATGTGGAGAGATACTAACTGACAGAAGCTGCACTTCACAATCTGGGGTGGCAGTGAAAAGAGAAGGAAAGGCACAAGGAGGTCAGGCTCAGGAGTAGGGATCAGACAGTGGTTACCTGGTATGGGAGGGAGATCTACCATGAGTGGCCTCAAAGTAGGTGTTTTTCTCAGGGCATTATTAAAATGTGTATGGTAAGGACCAGACTCAGCTAGCAGAGTTACCTTTAAAAAACGGGGTTACTAAGTTACTGTAAGAAAACTGTGCTTCCATAGAGTAGTAACTCAATAAAGGGACACATGGACCACAAAGCTGGATTCTATTGCTTTATCGTCTACAAATCCATTAAATGATATCTATCCTCCAGAATCCAAATCTCAATCTCCTTAATATCCCAAATACAACTGAAAAATAAGAATTCACCTTCCCAAAATTTTAGAAATTAAAAGTAATAAATGTGGCTGTCTTAGTTTCTATCTTATTTTATATATATTCTGCTTCTTTTTAGGTAGGCTATAGAGCTCTGGAGGTCCCTGGGTGGCTCAAGCAGTTTGCAGTTGGCTACTAACCTAAAGGTTGGTGGGTCGAACCCACCCAGTGGCATCATGGAAGAAAGGCCTGGCAATCTGCTTCCAAAAAACATTACAGCCAAGAAAATCCTATTGAGCAGTTCTACTCTGTAACACAAGGGATTGCCATGGGTCGGAATTGCCTCAAAGGAAAGAGGTTTGATAGAGCTCTGGACTTTAAATCTGAAAATTCTGTGCCTAAATGCAATTTCTCTCCTTTCCAATCTTGCACAAGTAACAATTTCTCTGAGTTTCAGTTTCCTTATCTTTAAAACGGGAATAACAATACTACCTGCCCCACCTACTTCAGAGGTTCACTGCTGAGACTCACAGGAGACAGGATGTACAAAATCATTTTATAAACAGCAAAGCACTATACAAATGTTGGTTGCTACCTTACATGGGGCACTGTTATGAGCAGAAAATATTGGATATAAATAGAGTTAACAGAGAAAAAATTTCCTCTATCTGAGAGAGAAGAGTTGCAAACAGGGTGAAGCGTAATTTTAAGCTATTGGTTAATATATTAGGAAAGTGGTTTGTCATAAAGTTGAATCATTATTTAGAAGTGGATTCTCATGCCAACACATTCACTTTGCACAGACCACAGAAGAAAAAAAATAAGAAGGCTAAAGAGTGGGTGTCCAGCTCTCAGCTCACCAAAATAACTGATGAAGTTCCATTTAGGGAGGTGGAGTTGGTTATGACACTCAGTATAAACAGATTATTGTTGCATAAGAAGAGAGATAAAGGTGTTATTACCAAGCACAGAACTGTCAGGTCAGCCACAATCCATATACTATAGCTAAATATACATAGGGCATGTGATTTCTACAGAGGGCTTTAAGAAAAAGAAAAGTATGAAAGTTATTCCATTGGTATCAAACAGACATAAGTGATTCAGTAGGCTGGTTCTCCATAGGAAGCTCTTAAGGAGGTCAACAGTGCTGGGAAGAAAATAAGACACCCACAACAACGAGATCGGGGTGCTCTAGAAGATACAGCCTGGAGGAGACACAAACTGGTTTGGAAGCGCTACAAATGAGCAAAACAAGAGGTGTGGTTTCAGAAAATTTTTGCCTTAACACAACATAAGGGTTTATTCTTTAAGTGATCGAATTTATTTTATAATGGAGACACAGACAGAAAAATGAATTTTCTGAAAGGGCATTAGACAAGTGACACTAACTAGGCATATGAGTGACATGGTGTACAGACACACCAACGAGACAGAAGTGAAGATGACTAATCCATAGGATAACACCAGGGACCAAATCTCCAGTAACCATGACAACCCAAGCAGGTGGAGGGAAATACAAACACTGACCAGTCAGCTGGGTGACACTATTCCTTGAGGTACGGACCCTGGGGTCGGAAAGAGACTTATTAGCGGAGAAAGCTAATCAAGAACGAAACTGACTATTCTAAAGGGGCCAGTGTCCACGCAGGAGGGCTCGGCAATGCCACGAATCCTTTCCATGGGGTAGCTCGCAGGTGTCATAGGTTCATCTGTAAAAGACTGGACGCTTATAAAATTGAGAAGGGAGTTACCTGGTGCAAGGCTGTCAAGCCGTCCACGTTGACGGTGTTGATGTCGGCTCCCCTAGCCAGAAGCTTTTTCACCTCGTCAGTGTCCCCGCTAGAGCAAGCGGCCAGAAAGACAGCACCGTCCTCGAAGCGGACCCTGGGGCTCCTCCGACGAGTCTGCGGCTGCCGTCCAGCGCCTCGCCGCTCCGCGGGCTCCTGCTCGGTCAGTGAACCCCGCCAACGCCGAAGCTGCTCAGCCCGCCGCATTCGCGCCGACTCTGCTCGCTTCCCGCCTAGGTGCTCCAGCTCCGCCATTGCTCCAGGTTCAGCAGCTGCTGCTGCAACTATCGCTACTAGATTGCTGTTGCAGCTCCTGTTGCTGCTGTCGCCTCCCTCGGAGCGTTTCAGCCTGGAGCAGAAGGCGGAGACCCGCGCGCCACCATCTTTACTCCTCCCGCCACTAGCACCGCCCGCACTCTCCCTCGGCTTCAATACGCAGGCGTTGCCCGGGCCCCGGGTCATCACGGGACTTGTAGTAAGAGACAGGCCCTAAGGGCGCGCTATGGCCTTAAGAGAACTACAAATCCCTGGATGCATCAGAAAAGAGGCGAGGACTGGCTGTTCTGTACTTAGCCGCAGATCCCAACGGGGTGACCTTTGCCCTAAAGCTGGAATTGTGTCCCGCACTGGCGTCAGCCGCTTCTACTGGGCATTTTGGGAGTGGTAGTTTTTTCTTGTTATGACTACTTCTAATCTTAGATCCTAAATGATCACGTCATTCCTTTGACTGGGAAAGGGGCAGTAACTATCCCTATTTTCTAGTGGGAAAAAGAGACAAAGTGCCTGAAAGACTCGAATCTATGTCCTGGTTCTAAATTTAGTAAATGTAAATAAATTGGCGGGGGGAGTGGGGGAAAAGGAGTACAGATACACATACAATATTACAAAATATTTTTAAATAACATGACGCTTATTCTAGGCCCAGAAAAGATCTTGAAAAAGATGTATCAAGGTATAGTGGAAAGAGCATAAGCTTCGAATTCAAGCACCCATGAATTCACATTTCTGTATAACTGACTTCTCCGAGCCTGCTTCCTTACGTGTAAAATGGAAATATCTCACAGGATAGTGATGTGGATCAAATGAGAGAACATATGCATGAATGCCTAGTACCATCCCTGGCACATATCAGCTCACAATAAATATTCATTTCCCTTTTTTCTCCTGCCTCCTCCTCTACCCTTTTCATGGATCTTAAATTCTCAGGAGACAAAGTGGATATCTTGTCTTCCATGATGTTTTTCAAAGCTACAGAAAGATGCTACCTATGGAGCATACTAAACTCCAAAGGCAACAAATAAAACATTTTCATATTCACCATGAGCTTGGTTAAAACTTAACGTCTGTCCTGTTGGTTTAAAACTTACTATATCCCCCAGGGCCTTAGCCTTGGACAAAATATAATTAAATGTGTTATCCATGATGAAAAAGAAAATATACAATTGTTAGGTTCTTTAAACTTTTCTATATGTTTGAAATTTTTCATTTAAAAAAAGTAAAATTGATTTTAAAAACCCATTGCTGTGGAGTAGATTCTGACTCATAGCGACCCTATGGGACAGAGTAGAACTGCCCCATAGGGTTTCCAAGGCTGTAAATCTTTCTCCCATTGGGCGGCTGGTGGGTTCAAACTGCCTTCCTTTCAGTTGGTAGCCAAGCACTTAACCACTGCGCCACCAGGGCTCTGTAAGACTGACTAGGGCACTGTAAAGAGAAAACGGAGGCCTAGTCACTTCCTTGACATTTTTTTTTTTAATATCACGTGAACATTTGCCTGTGCCTCAGTTTCGCCCGAGATGAACTGGGAATCATACACTGAAGAAATAAATGAATCAATGAATTGTGAGCCTCAAATGAAAAGTGACATATAAATGGAAAGTATTATTATGCATCATTATTATGTTTAATAATACTGCCTATCTACAATACAGAGCCCTGGTGGTGCAGTGGTTAAGCTCTCAGCTGCTACCGAAAGGTCAGCAGTTAAACTCACCAGCAGCTCCACGGAGGAAGATGTGGCAGTCTCCTTTCATAAAGATTTATAGCCTTGGAAACCCTATGGGGCAGTTCTACTCTGTCCTATAGGGTTGCAGTGGGTTTGGCTACCCACAATATGCTTTAATTGGATATTCTTAAATACTATATAGATATTACTTAAGCCTTACAGCATCTTTGTGAACTGTGAATAACAATGTCCCTAAAAATAATCAAGGTATAATCTTTATACAGTTTCATTCTCCTTGCTATATGCATTTACTTATAGTCACCACACAACATGCCTTGTCATTTATTGCAATCAAAAATTCTTTATGACATTTACTTTGTAACTTGCCAACATGGCACTTCTTATTCCAAGTCAAACTCTTGTGGATAATTAAAACTGTCCACAAGTTTCCAAATAGAATTCTCCCTAAAGGATAGAAAAAACACTGATAATAAATCAGATAGGAAAGAATATAGCGACCCTATAGGACAGAGTACAACTACCCCATAGGGTCTTCTAGGCTGTAATCTTCACGGGAGCAGACAGCCACATCTTTCTCCCTTGGAATGGCTGGTGGATTTGAACCGCCAACCTTTCGGTTAGCAGCCAAGGGTTTAACCACTGTGCCACCAGGGCTCCTTGGGAGAGAGGAATAGACTGTAAAACCAATATATCTTCCAGCTATGAGTATTGAAAGTAGTAATAATTATTATAATCTAATTCGTTTAACTGGTTTAGCCAAAACAAAAATTATGCCAAAAAAAAAAAATTCTTCAACCTATAAAGCATTCAAAAGGTTTTCAAAACTAGCATATCAGTATTTTTTTTTTTTCTGAACTTTCCCCCTCAACCAGGGCTCTCTGAAAGTAAACTTATATAATCAACTCATCAAACAAATATTGTAGTTTAAAATTTCTTAAATAAATATTCTAAAGAAAATATATTTTTGTATACAAGTGAGTAAATTTTTACAAGCTATGTACAAATAAAATACAATTTTTGTATTTTTAAGTGTACTAGGTGAGCCAGCTATGATGTGTTGTTTTATTAAGTGAAGAAACTTTTATAAAGTAATAATTTCCTATGCCCACACTTTAAAAAAATAAATGGTAATATTAGGACATGCTGTTTTTAAAAGCAATGACACCTGTGCATTCCGTTCATGAACTCTTTCAGCCAGGCCTCTATTCCCACCAGTTAACATACCGCCCTCTGGTGGACAAATGGAAACTGCACATTTAGCATTTGAGTTTGTTTTTTTTTTTTTTCCTTCAATCCTTCCAGTTTGGTTGCCAAAACTATAGTTATTTGCTTACTTTATCATACTATCTCTGCTTCCAGTAAACTCAATACAATCTCTGCATTTCCTAAGAGACATTTTAAAAATCCATTTCTCAGAGAACCACCCAAGAAAGTAGTTGATTTCAATTCTGAGGACAGAACTGTAATTGAGGTACAATTACAGTTGGAATAGGAGAGAAAATAGGGAAGACATTGAAGGGAATAGAACAGCGAATACCATTAGTGAAAGAAGTAGCAAGTCCAGAATTATGACAGAAAACACTTCCTTACAATGAGTAAATACTAATAATAAATGCAAAACTCTAGCAGCTAAATGGAAATTAGACTGCACAGTAACAGGATTCCTTGTTTGTAATTCATAAGGTACTTTAGTTGGTTCATTTCTACAACTAATGAGAGGTACCCCAGGGTAGAAGCGTGGACAGAGTTCTAGTGAATGTGTGAGTCTGTTGATGAGAGATAACATACCATGCAGTGGTCATGGGGGAACCAGTTGCTACTTAACACCAATTTGAACTAAATGTAGAAATCACTGCTGTGGCCAAAATGATGTTGGTTTACAAATTTAGGAAGAGAATGATCATTACTCCTTGTTATAGATTGAATTGTGTCCCCCAAAAAAATTTGTGTCAACTTGGCTAGTCCATGATTCCCAGTATTGTGTGATTGTTCACCATTTTGTCATCTGATGTGATTTTCCTATGAGTTGTAAATCCTACCTCTATGATGTTAATGGGGGCCCTGGTGGCACAGTGGTTAAGAGCTCAGCTGCTAACCAAAAGGTCGGCAGTTCAAATCCACCAGCTGCTCCTGGGGAACCCAATGTGGGTAGTTTTATGATGTTAATGAGGAGGGATTAGTGGCAGTTATGTTAATGCGGCAGGACTCAATCTACAAGATTAGATTGCGTCTTAAATCAATCTCTTTTGAGATATAAAAGGGAGAAGCAAGCAGAGAAATGGGGACCTTATACCACCAAGAAAGTACAGCCAGGAGCACACGTCATTTGGATCCCGGGTCCCTGCACTGAGAAGCTCCTAGACCAAGGGAAGATTGATGACAAGAACCTTCCACCAGAGCCAACAGAGAGAGAGCCTTCCCCTGGAGCTGGCGCCCGGAATTTGGACTTCTAGCCGAGTAGACTGTGAGAGAATAAATTTTTCTTTATTAAAGCCATCCACTTGTGGTACTTCTGTTATAGCAGCACTAGATAACTAAGACACTCCTATACCACTACCGTTCCAAAGTCACAAAATGAGCTAAGAGCAATGAGATGAGGTTGTTTGGGTGTTTTTCCACCCATGCTGCCAGTTAGCTTTCCAAGGCTAGTCAAGTTCCAGCCACATCCTTTAGATTCAAGTCAGGTCTGGGCTATCCTTGAGCTCTCATGGAGCACTCACCTCTGGTAGAGACAACGCTGAGAGTCAAGGCTGGCTTAGCTATAAATATGTACTTCCTTGGTCAGGAGTCTTCGTGGCCCAGTGGTTAAGAGTTTGGCTGCTAACCAAAAGGTTAGCAGTGCATAATCCACCAGCCGCTCCTTGGAAACCCTATGGGGCAGTTCTACTCTGTCCTATAGGGCCGCTATGAGTTGGAATCCACTCGATGGCAACAGGCTTTGGTCAAGAAGTACCACATTTTTAGAGTTGGAAAAGGGCTTAAAAGTCATCTCTTGCACACTTCCACCCAATGCAAGGATCCCTTTTGCACTATCCCTGGCAAGTGATTACCTAACTTCCTCTTGAATACCTCCACCCACTGCCATCGAGTCCATTCAGGCTTATAGTGACCCCATAGGGTTTCCAAGGCTGTAAATCTCTACAGAAGAAGACTGCCACATCTCTCTCCCGCAGAGCCGCTGGTGGTTTCAACCTCCGACCTTCCGATTAGCAGTCAATCACTTTAACCACTGTCCCACCAGGGTTCCTTTGAACACTTCTAGTGATGGGGAGTTCAGTATCCCCCAAGTTTACCTGTTTTTTCTTAAGAGTTGTAATTGACAAACTATGGTATTGAGCTAAATTTTGCATCGTTTAAAATGTCATCCATTGGTCTTAGATGTATCCTCTGAAGCAGTAAAATCTTCCATGCGAAAAATAGTTAAAGTAGA